TTCTCCTCTGTTTGTTCTAGGACCCTACAGGTTCCTTCAGTTCTGAGACAAGTTTTATATTACTTCTTGGCCCAGGGTTTCCACAACTGGCAGGTAAGGCAAAATCCAACCCTGTACCCTCCCATAGCTGGGGCTGGTTTTCTGGAGCACGACATACTGTTTTTTTCACCAATGGCCTATTGGCTTGAGGGTAGCACTTTTCTAGTCCCGTTAAGGGACAAAACAGTGACTTCTGGTTCTTGGATTTATGTGAGGATCCAGTCCCAGCTGCTCACCGTGCACAAGGAGCCTAGAACTGGGCCCCTCCCAACTGCAGTAAGACTGAGCCTAACACCCGCCAAGCCGAGGCTCGCTGCTACGGCCACCTCACATGGCACCTGTGTTAGGTTTGGTGTTGTAGTTTTTGCTACGTGCCTTCTCCTACACGGAGCTCCTTGAGGACGGGGTCTGAGGTTTTGTACCCCAACACAATGCTTCCCACAGGGCCTTGCACACAGATGTTCTCATTGGACTGAACTATACTGTAATCGCCTCAATGTTCACAGGTAGAAGGCTTGAGCGGGGCCTTTCTATCCGGGGCCTAGTTCTTTATTGTTGGTGGGATGGTGGGGTCAGTGCGCCATGCAGAGGTGCCAATTTTTATTTTCTGCTCATTAAAATCAAAGGAAAAAGGCAGGCCTCTTGCGGGCAGAGTTTACTCCAGTGCAGCGAACCTCTGCGCTGCCATCAAGTGTCACATTCTGCTACCTCAGCTTCACATGCCAAGACAGAAAAAGCAGCAGGAAGACGTGTTTAACATTTATTCCCAGGTTTCTTTTTTCGATTTCCTCTGAAATGAATATGAATACACTATGGTCTTTACACTCTGCAGGAGCTAATCCCCCACTGGAAGCTTTTGGGGAACCTCATTCCTTCTTGCGGATACAATCTGTCGACACAGGCGTTCCTTCAGGCTCTTCTGAAAGGCCCATAGTGGACAGAGCTGCGCTCTCTTTGGAGCTCTATTACACTTATAACTATGGGTTGTTTTTTTTTTTTTTTTTTTAAGAAAATAACATAGGAATTGCTTCCAGAACCCAAGTGCCTGTGTGAAACGCTGCCTTCTCTTTGAGGCAAGGCTGCTTTCAATGGCTCCTCCAGGCAGTGAGCATGTCCCACTGCTTCGTGGCCGCTGCCAGAGGGGCCAGTGACTGAAGCCTGAACCCGCCCACATGCTCAATAGGAAATGTGTACTTTCGCCGTTGAAAGAACCATGAGAAGAAAATGATATTTTTATAAATGAAAGCGCTTAATAAGTATTATTCACTAAGTAAAATCGTATTTTCCTTGAATGTCTTGGACCATGTATCAATTTCATTAACCAAGAAAAAAAATCTAGCTGAACTATGTACCCCTTCTAGTAACGGCAACAAAATTCTCAATATGTATCCAGTGAGCATGTATTAATTGTTTACTATGTGCATAGATAGCACTATAAGGAGGCTCTGTGGAAGCATTTTGTCAAATAAGTCTTTGATCTCAAGAAGCTTCTTTTTAGGGTACCTAATTTATTTTGTGGCTAACTCGGTAGGATAAAAATTGTCTTCAAACTGCTAATCCCATTGAGATGATTTCAATTACTCAGGGTTGCAGAAGGCTATCTGTTAAATTATCTGTCCATGCCCTTTCACACATTTGTGCTTTTAAATCACACAGAGTATTTTCTCAGTACAGAATAAGGATCCCTCATTATAAAGCATCCCTAGGTCTCTCCGTTAATCATATGGAATGACAATCCATCTTCGAGTTAGAGTCAAAGTCATATATCTCCCCCCACGCCATCTGATGAAGCTTTCTGCTGGTTTCCTGGGTGGCCAATCACATGACAGATATATGACTTTGAGACAAGAACTGAAATAAAATTCCTGTAATACCCTTAGCGGGGAGGGAGATGGTCACTGCTGAGCATTTTAGTCAATGACTTAATTCCCTTTAAACTTCCCTCCACCCTTGCTTAGAGCTCTGAACTCAACCTAAAAGAGCTGCATAGTTTACCTACTGAATCCACAATACTTCGAGGTGCGTTAGCTTTGTGAATTTTCTTCCAAGGATTTCAGGTGCTAAATGATACATAACATGTGCCCCGGGAGAGTTTATTCAATACTCTAATCAGCAGCCTCAAGAATGCTTCACACAGGTTGGACAACGGGAGAAAGAAGGCCTCAGAAGCAAAGCACTTGGTGTTGCCAGAAAGTACATTTTTGATGGCACTATCACACTGAAACTGGAGACCAGCTGGTACACTCTTAGACACCATCGTCAGGTGGCTGTGAATGGCACATACAACTCCCAATCCTCCAGCTCAGCCCCTAAATCCCTCTCGTCCATGTAACAGCATCACGAGGTGGAAGCAATGTCGTAGATGTGAGACTTCCACCCCAGAGATCCACGTCAAGGGGAAGAAACACATTCCCTGAGCAGTCATTCCACAGTTCCCATGTCTGACTCATAACTCAGTAAATGGCCATTCCATCCATCCAGCTCCTCAGACCAAAGCCCTGGAGTTATCTTTGACTCCTTTCTCTCACTCAGCATCCAATGTGTCAGCAAATGCTGTTGACTTTACTTTCAAAATATATCAAGAATCCAACCACTTCTCACCACCTCCACCACTTTTACACTGGTCCAAACCACCATTACCTCCCCCAACTGGATTCCAGCAAGAGCCTCTAACTGGGTCCTGCTCCATCCTCACCCTCACTGTCAGGTCCCCACTCAGTAGCCAGAGTAATCCTGTTACAACTTCAGTCAGATCATATCACTCTTCTGCTCAAAACTCTGCAATACCCCCTTTGTCCAAGGCACACAGAGTAAAAGCCAGGGTCCTGACAGTGACCTCCTGGGCCCTACAAGATCCCTTCTACCAAATCTAAGGTAACTCCTCCCCACTTCAACCAATACACTCCAACTGACACACCTATGTCAATCTTTGTGATGCTCTTCTGACAGGCCAGTATCATTTCCATCTTGGGTCCTTACACTTGGAGTCCAGCTGCAACACTCTGCTCCCAAAGAACACGTGGCTTGTTCCTTCATCTCCTTAAGTCTTTGCCCAAAGGCCACCTTCCTAGTAGGGCCCACCCCGATCATCTCTAAAATGGCAACTCCCAACTCCTGGCACTCCTCACCCCTCCTCTGCTTTGTTAACTCTATGACACTTATCATCACCTGACAAACTATTTATTTACTCATATACAGGTTGATAATCTATCTCCCTCTACTAGACTCTATGCTCTAGGAGGGCAGGAATTCTTGTCTGTTTTGTTCACTGCTATGTTTGTAGCACCCAGCAATGATGCTGGTCCTTAGTAAGCATTCAACAAATATCAATGAATGAATGAATGAATGAATGAATGAATTTATTTTTGGACTGTGTGCCATGTACTTTACAACTTTAGGTTTTGATATGTTTACTCCCAGACATCCCTTGACACACATACCACAATATTTTCAGAGTCTGGAGGAGGCTGTACTAAAGGAGCAAACAGAAGGACTTAAAGGATTTCTGGAATCTTTTTGGATCAGATTCCATCCTTTAGAAGATGAAGTTACACCAAGGTTCTAATGTATAGACAGGCCCATGTCAGCAGATCAGGAGAGATGATACTGGTGCTTTTCCGTGTGTGGATCTACATCTAGTTTTAGGGGAGCTGGGCATGGAGCCATTGTGGGAAGACAAAGCACACTGGCCGCCATGGCCATTTCTGCCTGTATTACCAACCACACACTCATGTCCAACACTGAGATTTTCTCCTATGAAACAGACACTCCCTCAAACAGGAGTAGAACTGCAGAAAAGAAACTTTCCAATGGAAACTTGGGAAGTAAGAAGAATGTACTTACATGTCCAAAGATTCATTTTTTGATTTGAGATTGGTTTGGGGTTAGGGTAAAGTAGAAAAGGAAAGTTGAGAGTAATATGCTTTTTGAGGATTCTATTTTTTACAAAGAAAATAAAGATAACATGGAAAAGAAATACCTGATCAGCATTTCAATCAGTAGTATTATAAACATTTTTTTGGAGTTTATATGTGTGTGAGAGAAAGTAAGTAGAGAAGGAAAAATTAAAATAACACATTTTTTTTCCAAAATGAAGTTTCTTAAATAGATCTGTTCTCTCTGCGTCTTTTTCTACTGTATAATCCCAAATTATCAGTTCACAGATTAAGTCAATCTGATGACAAGAAAAAACAGTGTCATTAAAACCAGTGTTTCTCACTGAAGCACATCAGAATCACTTAATTCTGTTCCAAATACTGGAAATCACTTTAGAACATTTTCCCAAAGAATTGATAAAAACAAATATACAAAGTTTAGGTGAAAATTGCTGCAAAAGTTTGCATCCGCCTAGACATTAGATTATTTTTTAAACATAATGATTGCCATGGTAAGAAAGATAGAAGAAAATTACATGGTTCACTTTAGACTAAGTTGCTTAGAGAGAGACAAATTCCTCAACCATACGTCTATGATTTTTCCTACCATTTTTCATTCCAATGACTACTTAAGAGGAAGCAAAACCAATCGACTGGAGGGGTGTTACTCCTGATTAAACAACAGTGTTTTCTCATTATTTCATTTTTGCAAATAATGCGACTCCAGCAAGACTGTGCATCCCTTCAGAGAAGAAGTTGTATCTTATGCTGCTCTTGTAAACAGACACATAGTAGGTGCTCAGTAAATACCAACTGCCTTAACATTTCTGCTGGCAATGATTTAAAACCAGGACAAAAGTTTTAAAATCATAAGCAGGCGAAGAAAAATTGGCCTGTACAAGTCAAGACTCCCTGTGAAAAAGCAAAGGACATACGAGGAAAAGAAAATGATGGAACAGACTTGTGCACATTTGTGTTACACAGCAGAGTGAACCGCATTTCAGGAGTTTCAAACAACACTCTTAAAAAGTTAGCTTTGAAATAGGTATTTGGAAATGTGAATTCAGAGCTAAAATAAATTCTTACAGTTTTCATCCTGGGCAATGCATTGTAAAGGGATCCCAAAGAAAGACGTATAGCTGTCATTGTACCACACCAGAAGCTCGGTACCCCTGGGAATATCTATACAGGCTCGGTAGAATATATTCGACCTATTCAAAACAAAAGAAAACCCAGCTTAGTAATCGGTAGGACTCATGTGCCCCATCCACACTTTTATTGCCCCGAAAAAGTTCTGCCCAGCTTTCCACCTAAACAGTTTCTGTTTGTAATAAAATCTGCACCCACCTTATCATTCCCAACAACCAATTAGGGCCTGTAACCTGGTACAATAAATAGCTCACAGTTTATTTCCACAGTGTCCCTCCACAGAACCTCTTGGCTGAAGAGACAAGATATTTGGCCCAGGAGACAGCAGAAAGGAAGAGTTCATTAAAAAAAAAAAAAAAAAAAATTCCATCTCATACTAATGAGAAGATTCTCTCTATTGGCAAATTGCAGACTCCAGTGCCTCAATCTCACATATAAATTAATACTATTGATTTCTTATTTGAAGGGAAAGTGTTGCGTATATTATTCCAACTTGGCATTGGGAGTTCTCAAATTTGTAATAAAATTAAGCAGCTTTGTGATATAAGGACTGAAAGAAATAAAAATCTTCCCCATCGCCTTTTTTCTAAAGTTTGATACAGGAGAAGAGAAAAACCCTCTTATGTGAAATGGATGGAAATTCAGTAAATACAAGAGGAGCACTTTACTCTGGCTGAAAGATTACACTCTGAAATGATGGAGTGAAGGTATCAAGAAATAACCATTTTTTTAATAACAGCTGTGGCACTGTAAAGAAAAATCTACAGATTAAAAGAAAGAGGAGCCTGCGATGGATTTTCTCAATGAAGAACTGCTACAAATATTAGCCTCAAGTTCAAGATAAAAGTGTTTAGGGTTGGTGGACCTTAAATTTAGCCTTTCTGTAAGGAATTGGCCGTAGCAGGGCAATTTTTTCCTTGTATAACACTGCAGACATAATGCAAAGCCTTCACCACATTTTTCATGGCAGTGAGATATGCACTTGTCAACATATTTTGTCACCACAAAGTGGCTCTTGGCAATAGGATCATAAAGATCAATAAAAAAAGTGCAGATTCTCAATATTTTACTTGCAGCTGCAAAAATTTCATTTATCTTGTTATTTTCCTTACTTGCTGCCATTCTGTCTCACGAGGGCACTGCTAGCTAAGCAGAGTGTTTTTTCCCAACGTTCTATGAATATCTGACAAAAACTCCAGCCAGCTGTCCGGACCTCACTCCCCTTCCTCCCTCCGCACCTCCAAGAGCTGTGCATTTTATTAATTCTTTCCACTGCTACATAAAAAAATCAAAATTGGAGCCGGGCTATAAATCACTGGCATCTCCTAACTTGAGAAAAATTGAGTCGACTTTGTACTTCACCCTTGTAACATTTCATCTCTCGGTTTGGCTTCCCTTAATATAAACACAGCGCCCGGCAAATGAATGTGCTAAAACCAAATGACACACTTTGCCGCTGAAAGAGCAGAACTGTTTTCGAGCAATGGGTGGTCTTTTGAGGCACAGAGTAGGCCGAAAGGGGGAAAAGAATGTGTAAGCGTACACCATTCCTTACAAGCGGGCAGAGCTTCCAAAACTCGCAGAAATCTCTGCATGTTGAAGCACATCAAAGGGATTTTTCCCTTTTCAGATAATATTTCCTTTGCTGACATGTATTTAGTATTGTGGTTGGATGACTCATAAAGATAGCTTCATGGCGTCCCAATGCAGCTGAAGCAGAACACACGCCAACAAACATTATTGTCAGCCTCAAAATAAAAACAAAACGTTCAGCTAAGGGTCAATCAATCAAGGGTGCTTTGAAGAAAATTCCATTTAGATATTACAAATCATAACAGAATGAATCTAAACCAGCTGACTTTTTGTGAAGAGGACATTCATGTACAATAAAAATTAGGCTGGCTCTTCGGGGTCCAACTTTTCTATTTTCTTACTCTTGGACGTGGTCACTGGTGACGGATGCCAGTTTTTAAATTGTGTTTTTGTAGTTCATTTTATAAAGATCTGAAGTAATCGAAAACAGATCGGCAGAGAGAACTTGATGTGTAAGTGCCATCAGGAAAGGGAGCAATAAAACCCACTTAATATTGACAGAAAGGTAATGACTTGCTCATACCCACCTTCCTCGTAGGGGTTTCTTATTTTCCCGAAGTCTGAATTTGCCTCAAGAGCTCCCTGGGTGCCCATGACAGAACCAGCCAATCTATCTCTTGCCGAATGGAGAAGCACAACCTTTACTAATTTTCTAGCTCCGAGTTTTATAAAAACTTCATGACAGAGATGCAGCTGCAGGGAAGGTGGGGGAAGCCCATATACAGACTGTAACCAGATCCCGTCATACACAAGTTCGTTTAAACCCTTATGTAATGAAAGATAACTGCCTAGGAAACCAAGGCAGTGAGTCACATGCTGCCCAAATATGTTCCTTTTGAATTTGGAGGCCTTTGGAGAGCAAGCCAGATTTGTGCAGCCTTTAACCTATAAGGGGAATAAAGCTTTTTCTTTTTTTTTAAGTCTTCATTTAAAAAAAATAAAAATGAGAATGAAAATAAATCGTCATAGGCAGGACTCCAAGTTGCCGAGCAAGGGCTCTTCTGCTTTGATGTGTCTGTGGTGCCTGGTAAAGCTAAACAGTTGCTTCTGATCTGAAAGGGAACACGGCTGTTTATAACTGAGGTCATATATTTACAGGGCACATGTTTTCGAGGGATTCTGAGAAAAGAAGGCTTAGTGGCAGGGCTTTTTTCCTATGGGATCTATCTTTGCCTTTTTGTCTCCACTCCAGCTTTTAGCACTAGATGGAAATGCCTGACCAACAGGTGCACTGGGCAGGTGTGGCTTAGGCTCTGGGAATCCACCCTGCTTCTATGCCCCTACCCCACCCCAGGCCTCCCTATGAGACTCTGGGCAATGGGGGTGGCTCACCTCATCTTTGTTACCCTTTGGGCTTTGCCCAAACATCTCAGGAGACCAGGGCCTTCTCTATGCTCCGGAACTACCTCATCCCCTGAAATGTACTCTGACTTGTCGCAGGACCAAAGCCAAACGCTTTGGCACCTTTCAAGGGATCAGAAGAGGTTGCTCTGACTCAGCCAAGGCTGCCGAGCATAACGGTTTTAGAAAAGCAGCTTTGGGAGTGTTGAGAGTTCTTGATTTCCCATGCCTTTGTACAAATCAAACTGTTCTCCCTAGGAGACAGCCAGACTGAAGGGGACTGAAGGCAAGCGACCTGGGGCTGAATCTCTAAACTCCTGTTTACGTGTGGACACGTCTGCTGTGGGGAAATCACTCCAAGTCAGTGAGTTCGCTGGGCTCACGCAGGCCATTATGAAAGTTCAGGTGATGATGTGGAAGTAACTTTATCACATGCAGTGAGTGAAAAAGGCCTTCTCCTAGCATCTTTCTTCCCAAATTCTCAAGAAATTACTGTTACAAGAACTAAGAAGATATCACAAACCTAGCAAAAAAATTCCTGCCAGTCCTTGCAGAGTTCTTCAGGACTCTGCAGGATTTTTTCAAAACTAGCAGCAAGCCTTAATTTATATATGCAAGGCAAAGGGCTTTGGCTTTGTAGGCGGTAAATCAAGGTATACTTTACCTGTACTGAACTACTGTTAGATTCTGTTCTCCGCAGTGCCTTGCACATCGGATATACCTCATCCAGCTCGACTTACTAGGTTCCCCACCATCAATAAAGTGCTGTAGTGTCCCATCTTGGTCATATATCTAGAGAAGAGGTCAGAAGGTCAAGTAGTTAGAACGAATCATCAGCAATCATTTTCCCTGCTTCCCTTGGTGTCTTTATGTGTCGGCTGCAGCAATTTATTGCCCGTAGGTTTGCTAGGTCTTATGAATGCTTGTGGAAACTCAACTGGAATAACAGAAGAAAAACATTTTCTGGTGATGCAAGTTAATCACGTTTTTCTTATCAAGCCAATCTTCCCTTTATTAAATATATTTGTGGCATCTCAAGGATGTGAGCGACCATGTTTCCCAAAGAATATTTAACCTCTTTTGACAGGCTACTCTTAAGTAATGAGCTGCTGGGTAAACAAAGCAAGCTGAGAGGCGAGGCCATGCTGACATGGCTGGAACATCCACATGAGAGGCCCTCGTCTCAAACACATAACTGCTCGAAGGCATTCGGGAGGCAGGGACCATCTGCTTAACAAGCTGGGTGACACCTAGCAGAGGTTGGAGCGTTATGGAGCTGTATCACACTGATAAAGCAGACTCTGATTCAGATGAAATAAACGGACTCTCACCTCGCAGAAGATGTAGGACTTCAGCTGTCAGGACCTGAAACTATTAGGAGAGGAGTCATGAAAAAAGAGAGACCCTCACAAAGGGAAAGAAAAAATAATAATAACTGTTTCCTATGGATTTTTAATGTCTTAACTAAGGTTGGTCTAATAATTATTGCCTTAGGCCACCTCAAGCAGATTTTCTTTCAAGCACATTCAAGGAAATGAAATCTGCTTCAAACCAGGCAATAAGTGTGGGACAAAAAGTCTTCTGCGAAACAACTGGCCAGCCTAGGACATGTGGAGTCAGTGCTGACAGCAGAGACAATCGGCTCTCACTTCCAGAAACCAGGTCAGCCCTGGGTACCCTGAAGGCTGTGGTATCTAGAGGAGTGGGAGATCCGGGGTTATATATGTACAGCAATTCTCAAAGGTCATCCTCAGCCCTAGGGGCAGCCACGAAGCAAGGGGGTACAGTTCTCAGAAGGACCATGGCAAAACTGGACCTTTTCAAATAAAATCAGCAGTAAGATTCTGTTCCCCAGAGCATCCTGAGAAAATATTTTTTACCTTTGCTAATCAGCCTTTCCACTTTTCCTTTCCAAATAGACACAGAGATAAGTCTCACAGAGAGCCTCACTGGTTACATTTCGGCCCTAAAATTAGTAGGGTCATTCATATTAATTTAGCTCAGTATTTCTATACTGGAGGCCAAAGGGCTTAGTGATGACAGTTCTTTTTATCATCACCAGTCATTTTAAAATAGCTGATTTTTTTCTTTTGGGGGCTTTTCTTGAACTCATTTGTCTTCACCCCCAATCTTTCCACTAACCCCCAGAAACAGAAGAGAGACACCAATCTAACCAATACAATTGTTGGAGAAGTTATAACTGGGTAGCAGGCCAGAGTGATCACAGCTGATAATCAATGTAGCCTGAGAAGAATGAAGAGATTCCTGGATTATATTATATTTAAGATTAATGATTTTAAATTCCTAGCTCGGGGATGATGGCAGAGAATGGAAACATTTCATGCAGTGGATACATCTGCTCTTCGAGCAACCTAATGACAGATTTCATATTTAGGTTAGGTTATTACACTGTACTTATTTTGTTGTTGTTGTCTTTGTTTTCGTTTTAGGAAACTGGTTCAAAGGCTCAAAGGCTCAACCCTGAGTCTGCTGTTGACAACCCGTGCGACACTGAACACAGCCATCAGTTCTCTGAATGCCACTGTTTATCTATAATGGAGCCCAAAATGTTGATGATCCAGCCCCCTGCCCTGTCCTTCCCCCATGAACAAACCACCCATGACAGCTGCTAGTGAAAATAATGACACATTTGGAGAAGTGCAGCTCTCCTTTGTGCTTGTAGCTAATGTCCTCAACAGCAAGTAAAACTCTCTAACGTTTATATGTAGTTGTGGGTGTTGCCTTGAGCGTTAGCTCATTTGAACACCAGACACTAGCCAGTCAGTCTTGAAAATGAGTATAAAAAAGTGTTTCCTTCTTTATCCATTCATGTATATGTATAGCTGATTCACTTTGTTATAAAGCAGAAACTAACACACCATTGTAAACAATTATACTCCAATAAAGATGTTAAAAAAAAAAGTGTTTCCTCCCACACTGTTTCAACAATAGTTTCCTTAAACTAAGTATATTGTGATTACAGGAATCCTACAATTTTTGCCTACCTGGTGAAACTCCTCTCGCCTTGAGGAAGTAGATGACTATTGGTCAGGCTTTCCCCAAATATCACACAATGAGCGCACAGCACGAGGTTGAGCCTCCCTGGCTTCAGCCTGATACCAATATCACACGATTTCACATGAAACTGATGAAAATCCCATGTACCTAGTTGGATCGCACAAGTGTGCATCCAGTCAGAGTTGAGGAAGCTCATTCAACCTTGACACTGTTCTTTCCCTCAACCCCCCAGAGCCCAGCTATCACCAGATCCAGCTGAATCTGCCTCCTAAACATCTCTCCCTCTCTACCATCACCATCCTGCCCAAACCAGTTTCCTCTCTTGCCTGAAGGACTCAAAAGTCCCTTAACTGATCTTCCTGCACCTTCTTCAGGCCCTTCCAACCTAGTGTCTAAAGTATAGCCAGAGTGATCTTTCAAAACACGAATCTGATGATATGCTTTTCAACCCCCCCCCAAAATAAAAACATCATAAATGTCATAAAATGTCAAGTCATAACAACATATATTCACAGCATGTGAAATTTCGTCATGGGGGCCCAACACGCTAATACGGGCAGCCCCTCCAACCTAAGTTATTTAGGGAGGTGGGTCGAAAACACGTGCCTTTGCAGTTGGCTCAAGACCATCCTGGAGCACTTTCTGGCTTCTGCTGTTAGGAGTTAACATTTAAACATTTAAAATGTTAGGAGAAACATTTAAATTGTTTCTTGAAAGTGAAACAATGGGCCAGAAGGCAGTGATGCCTATTTCTGTTCATTTTCCTAATAGAAGTAGAATAAAATTGGGAAAACCAAGATACCCACATGTGCACGCTAAAGAGGAACTAAAGACAACTTCTCAGAAAAGCTCTGGGTCCTAATTTGAGTATTATTATTACTCTCCATCATTAGCTCAAGTTTGCTTCCATTTAAGAGCTTAGTGAAAAAAAAATTGTTTTAAAGAGGGCGATAAAATTCTGCGTGTATCTGAACTGTACAAGGACACTGTCCCTGTATCCAGACGGGCTGACATTATTCCTTCTAGGAGAGAAGGAACCAGGAGTGGGGAAATGTTTCAGCAGATTTCGGTCTAGAGCAGCTGCAACAATTTCAAGGTCGGGAAGTTGTTCTTGGAAGCCGCATTAACATCTACATTTGTGTGACGCTAAAAGGTAATTTTAAGCTAGATACCTAATAGGTCTAAAAAAGTTAAGGAATCTAAGGAGATTTTTTTTTTTTTTTTTTTTTTTTTTCTTGCGTTATGCGGGCCTCTCACTGTTGTGGCCTCTCCCATTTGCGGAGCACAGGCTCCGGACGCGCAGGCTCAGCGGCCATGGCTCACGGGCCCAGCCGCTCCGCGGCATGTGGGATCTTCCCGAAACGGGGCACGAACCCGCGTCTCCTGCATCGGCAGGCGGACTCTCAAGCACTGCGCCACCAGGGAAGCCCTAAGGAGATATATTAATGCCAAGACCAAGAGTTATTTTGTTTTCATTACCTTTCAAAAGATTTAAAATAAGCAAAAAAAACATCAAAAATCATGCATAAAGTGTTTAGACAATCTCCTCCGGACTGATGAAAATGTCAAAAAGGTCAGAACTTGTATTCATTCAAATGGTGAGAATGAAGGTAAGAGTTAAATTTAGATTAGGAAAAAAATTCCTTGAAAGAACCCTTGAATCAAGCATAGTTTTGCTGGAAACTGTGCACTTTATTCTGAAAGAATATGAACCACCAAAGTTTTAATATTTGCTCTGTTTTTTCTAAAGAAGCTGAACAAATGACCCTCTGGAGGTAGGGGAAACACATGTAAAGAAACACACAGGACACTTGGTAGGAAAAGGGTTAAATTTTGTAATGGAAACCCCTCAAAGCTGTAGAAAGTATATTCATTTTACAAAGCTAGTCCTAGCATTGCAGAAAGGGAATATAAAATGACAGTCACACTGGAGAACATTTTGGCAACATTTTGGCAACAAAATAAAGTTGACAATGCATATTTCCTGTGACTCAGCAATTTCACTTCTAGGAAATTATTCCAGTGAAACTCTGATACATGTGCCTAAGGAGATGAGTTCAAGGACATTCAATGTAGCACAGCTTATAACAGCAAATAATTATAAATAAGAGAAATATCCATCATCAGAAGAATAAATTCATTGTGGTTTATTTATTCAACAAAAAAGTACAAAACACTTAAAATCAATGAACTAGATCTGTTTGCATTAAGATCTAGTTGATATAAACATCAAAAACATAATGTTGATTGAGAAAATCAGGTTGCAGATTAAAGTATATGATATCATTTGTCAACATTTCAAAATATACAAAATAACACCCAACAGTATCTTTTATAAGAGTGTATATTGTAATATACACATAGCAATATGCCTATCTATATGTATCTATACATATAGTACAATTCTGAACAGACACACAGGAAGGATTCATGATAACTTCATCAGAGTCATGGCTTTGGAAAGAAGGGGATGGAAGGAAAACAAAGGGAACTCACATGTATCTGAAATGCTTCATTTTTCTTAAAAAAAAAAAAAAGATTCTGAAGCAAATATGGCAAAGTGTTAACACTCACTTTTTTGGTGGCTTGTATATGGCACTTATATGTTATACTTTGGACTTTTCTGATTTTTTTTAAAATCAAAGAGAGAAAAATAAATGAAAAGAAAGCCTAGCCATTTATTTCCCTGTACTTCAATTTTTGCATGTGTTGTTAAAATAGAGAAGCCTACTATCTTACCCAAGGTTAAAAACTGTATCTGTGTTATCTTCCTG